ATGGTGATGTCGAGTGCAGTGAGTGCATGTATTTATTCAGGGAGCTCATCGACACAGCGCTCAGTATGTGTTAGATGTTACCTCGTAAGCAGCTGCATGGATGCAAGCCCTACTGTGTAGCCGCGTTACTCCATGCGCAAAATATTATAATAAATAAAATTCTATCAGATTATTATATACAATGAGTTGCGTGTGTGTACGTGCATGTGTTATGCTGTATGCGTGCTGTGTTGTGTGTGTGTTCGTGTGTGTGTGTGTGTGGTGTGTGTGTGTGTGTGTGTGTGTGTGTGTGTGTGCTGTGTGTGTGTGTGGGTGGGTGTGCTGTGTGTGTGTGTGCGTGTGTGTGTGTGTGTGTGTGTGTGTGTGTGTGTGTGTGTGTGTGTGTGTGTATATATATGTGTGCGCGCGCGCATGTGTGTGCAATTTGTACAAAGTCCACGAACTGATTACACATTAGCTGCTGTAACGTGAACACGACACTCAAGCACCCACACATGCACGCACACACGAGCGAACACATCTCACAAACCCTAGACGCAAATATGCAACTCACAGTAGGTGGGGGCGAGTTAGCAACACATACTCCCACACACACGCGCGTACGCACACACGCACGCGCACACATGCGCGCACGCACGCGCACACACGCGCGCACGCACGCGCACACACGAACGAACACAAAATTGCACGCATACAGAAACACGGGCATGCATGCACGCACGCACGCACGCACGCACGCACGCACGCACGCACGCAAGCACGCACGCACATACTCACAAAACTGAAAACTTAAAACGAAAAAACTTATTTATAAATAACATAAACTAAACTTTTTTTATAGCTGTCAAATTCATCAGCGAGCATGCAGGTAACGTACAGAAAACACATGACACTGAAATATGACAAAACAAATCAAATCATCAATCGACTCGATAGACTGAAGCGATGAAGACCTTGTTGCGTAGAAATAGGAATAACATTTTTTATTACCATAAAAACAGTATACTCATGCCAGGGTTGTAGCTAGTTGGTTGCGAGGGGAGGGGCAAAGACAGTTTCCCACCACCCAGAGACCAGCTGAGGATAATATAACATGATCAATAACCAACAGACTGACTGACTGAATAGCCAACAGTAAAATGCGAGTCAATTACAAAGAACACAAACTGAGCGTGGCTTTGCCCCCCCCCCAATATCCGCTACATGCTACAATGCCACATATTATGGTCAATTAACATCATAGCCAACATTATCATTAACTAGAAAGAGCAGTTGTTGCCAACTACATGTATCCCCCGTGTTCTCCCCAAGATGTGTGAGCATACAAAGTTTGGTCACGCTAGGTCAATTAGGGGCCAAGTTATAGAGCGGAAGGGAAATATGATGAAGGTCAAGGTCAAGGTCAAGGTCAAATAAAGGTTGCAGTGACTTGGTTTCGG